TAGTCAATGCTATGGTTAGTCATGTATGGATGTAAGAGTTGGACTATAAAGAAAGCTGAGTGCCGAAGAATTGATGCTTTTTAAATGTGTTGTTGGAGAAGACTCTTGAGAGTTCCTTGGACAGCAAGAAGATCCAACCAGCCCATCCTAAAGGAAATCAGCCCTGAATAATCTTTAGAAAGACTGATGCTGAAGCTGAAACTCCAATACTTTGGCCACGTGATGTGAAGAACAGACTCATATGAAAAGACCCTGATGCTGGGAAAGATTGAAGGCAGGAGGAGAAGGGAACAACAGAGAAAGAGATGGTTGGATGGCATCACCAACACGATGGACATGAGTTTGAGTTAGCTCTGGGGGTTGGTGATGGACAGGGAGGTCTGTTGTCCTGCATTCCTTGGGGTCACAGAGTCAGACACAACTGAGTGACTGAACTGAACTGAACTGAACTGAACCTTGACAGCTTCCTGCAGGTGTCTTCACATCTGGGCCTCTACGCCTACCTGCCTGTATACAAGAAGGCCGGTGTGACCCAGGTAAGCTTCCTGCAACCATTGTGGCAGCATCTCTACTGGACCCACGCAAGCTCTTCTCCTGGCACTGGTTCAGACAGATGGTTAGTCAAGGGGAAAGCATCTCCATCTGGGGAACAAACACTGATATTTTCGGGTAGAAGAAAGAGTAAGAGAGTGGCCAGAAGGGGGCCAAGAGACTAACTTGTCTTTACAGCATGACCACTCACTGGACCTCACCTGGTTTCATCAACAGGAGAGCTGCCTGCTGAGTGGACCTCAGGGGCTGGAGTAGATCTCAGGGGTCAACTCTTGGAAGTACACCTGCACTTCCTGAGCCCCAACACTGGTCTCCCCAGTGTGCATTTTGGGATCAGAGGGCCTCAGTTTGAGTCCCAATTCTACCTTTTCTAACTCTGTGACCAGAATTATCCCAGGGCCCCTTGGCTTCAGGTGTCACAAGAGATCAGCACTGCCCACATCCTGAGGGTGTTGCAGAAGCGGTGGAGACCATAGACATATATTCCTACTTCCTGCAAACTCAAATCCTTCGAAATGATAATATTATTGAGTAATTATGACTGTAACACTTAGCTCCTTTGACTAGAGGTTTAAATACTGACAAAGTGAGGTGGGAAAGGGTTTCCCCAGTGGTGCTAGTGGGAAAGAAACAACCTGCGAATTCAGGAGAGTTAAGAGACCTTGGTTCCTTCCCATTTGGGGAGCTCCCTTAGAGGAGGAGATGGCAACCCACTCCAGTATTCTTGCCTGGAGAATCCCACGGACAGAGGAGCTTGGTGGGCTACAGCCTGTAGGGTCACAAATAGTGGGACAGGACTGAGCGACTTTAGAACACACCCAATAGCATGAGGTAGGAATAGGCCTGGACCTTGGTGATGTCAATCGCTGAAGCAAGAGGGCTTTCCACTACCTCTGAGGAAGAAGGATACCTATTTGGAAGAGAAACTGTGACTCCACTCTGGCACTGAGGGAAGTTCCTGCTCTGCTGGTGAATTTCTATATCAGAAGGTGAAACTACAACATCCAGTCCTATTTCTTCCTTTCTTTACTACAGTTGACACCACATTTAAAGAGCGATCAAGAGCCAAGGAAACTAAAACTTTATGTGCTTCCCAACAATTTGCCTTGTTCTGTGCTGTTCCAAGCACATTAGCTGCATAATCAACATGGTTCTCAAAAGTAACCAAATCTGGGGATTTCTTTATGCAGACACTATTATTCTCTTTTAGAAAGAAAGAATCTGTGTTTCAGGGAGATGAAATGACTTGCCCAAGACTGCACAGCAGCATAGTGAGTTACTTAAGCCAAGATGTTTTCATTAATAACAACTCATTATCCCATTGCTGTCCTTGTTCAGTCCCTAAGTCCTGTCTGACTCTTTTGAGACCCCATGGGCTGTATTCCACCAGGCTTATCTGCCTGTGGGATTTTCCAGGCTTGAATACTCGAGTGGACTGCGTTTCTTCTCCAGGGGATCTTCTCCACCCAGGAATGAGTACCATGTGTCCTGCATTGGCAGGTGGATTCTTCACCCCTTAACCTTGAGGGCAGTCCTTAGGAAAAGGTAGCTTGTTTTTATTTAACTGTCTTCTGAGTTAAGTATTATTATTACTATTTTGGGCCGTCCCAATTCTCTCAGTGGGTAAAGCAATGCAGGAGACATGTGAGACTCAGTTTCAATCCTTTTGTCCAAAAGATCTCCTGGAGCAGGAAATGGAAACCCACTCAAGTATTCCAGCCTGAAAAATTGCAAGGAAAGAGGAGCCTGGTGGGCTACGGTCCATGGGCTGGCAAGAGTCAGGCACATTGAGCACACCCACACATATTGATATTTTAGAGATGAAGAAACAAAGTTCACCTAAGGAAAAGTCTCTTGCTGAAAGAAAAACACCTGAAAATCATAAAAGGACACTTACCAAAGTGTTAGTCATATGTCCTAGTTCTTGACCCAGTACAGCTTGGTCTATTCTCTATCTAGTCTTCTCTTCTTAGAGTTAGGTCTTAGAGTTAGGTCTATCTTGGTCTAACCTCTATCTAGTCTTCTCTTCTTAGAGTTAGGTCTTCCCTTGTGGCTCGGCTGGGAAAGAATTCACCTGCAATGTGACAGACCTGGGTACGACCCATGGGTTGGGAAGATCCTCTGCAGAAGAGAAAGGGTACCTACTCCACTATTCTGGCCTGGAGAATCCCATGGACTGTATAGTCCAGGGGGTTTCAGAGTCACACACAACTGAGCAACTTTCACTTCACTTCACTTCACTTCTTAGAGTTAACATTAAGATGCCAAATCAAATTACCTTGATAAGATTACTTGATAAGATACCATTATCAAGTGAGAATTACCTCACTTCTTCAGAGCCGTCATCCAGAGCAAAGACAGCTTCCTGAAACCCTCCACCAAGTCACCTAATCCAGCCTATGTCCTATAAGTTCTTTCAAACATTGTCTTTATAAGACAGCATATTGTTTTCCAGGATAATTCCTGTTCCTTGCTGCAGTGAGTAATAAACCCAACAAATTCAACTAGGAGCGGGGGTATTTCTACTGGTCTCTAGCTAGAATTACTAAGAAGATTGTTATCCTTATTCTATACTAAAGAAAAGAAAGCTCAGGGATGTTGAGAAATTTGCCCAAGACTCCGAGAAAGTGAGTAACAGCACCAGCACCATCTGTGTTCTTGTTTATTACAATTCTGTGTTTTCTGTGGTCCCCATGCCTACTTTACTCATCTGTCATGAAATGGATACTGTCTGTTTTCCCAAGGTGCCTCCATCCTACATCTTCCCAGAGGCAGAAGCAGGAGATCATCAAAGCCCTTCTGCTGGGGAGAGCAGGAAACTGCCATGTTAGGAAATGACCAGTAAGTGTCATCTCCATGCCTCCATTTCCTCTCTTGAAGGCCTCAGGATGGTTAATACAATAATGCAAGCAAAATGCTAAAACAGAGGCTGGGGCACTACAAGGTAATCGTCCTTCTTTAACTGAACTAAGCAGCCCCCTCCCCACAGGTGACTTCAGGGAATCAGATACCTTAGAAAACTGGACAAAGAGCTTCATGCCCATTCTCCTTCTGAGAGTCCATGAGGACAAACTACCCCAAAATTTGATTGAACTGAGAAGAAAGGAAGAAAAGCTGTCATGTGGAAGAGTCTGTCTCCCATGGTTTTGTGTGGCTTGTGTAGCTATTAAGAGGTCAATGATGCTACAATTAACTTGCTTCCTATACCTGGTAGGGCACAGTATCTGGCCAGGGCAAGGGGAGGTGCCCACAGTTTGCAGAACAGAGAGAAGAACCACCATTTCCATGGACTCTATTGGTTAAGGTTTGTAGTTGCAAATAACAGACTCTACTCCAGGCAGTTTAGTTTTGAAAATGCATTTATAGAAATATAAGCCACAGTGTGTGAAGCTACAGAAAGGACTCTTGGAACATCATTGTAGGGTCAAGGGTCTTCTTTATCCCAAACTCTTCTCTCATTATGGATGCTGAGAACTGGATCCCGGAAATTACACCTTGGCCACGCACAAGAAGAGCAGTGATGGTGGGGAGGGGCATGACAGTGAGGATGCCAAGAGGACGGGGGTTAAAACAAAAATCCTGGCATCAAACCAAAGGGCTATAGTTACTTTGGTCATGAGGAATGTGCTCCTACATTCCTTCTCCCCTTTCTCAAATAATTATGAACTCTCTCCTTCATGCCAAGAATTGAGCTTAGGGGTCTCGTGGTGTCGAGAGCCAACTGGATGAGGCAGGGTTAAGACATGAAGACAAAGGAGGAAAGGAAATAAGCAAGTACAGCTGAGGCATGTAGGAGGAGAAAAAAACTGGAAGGAGATTGAACTACTTTAGAAACAGACGCAGCACAGCCCTGCAGGGGTCCTTCTCAGACTTCAGAGTTTCGGGGACCACTCCTCTCATGTCCTCTGCAAAATGAAAGGAACTTGTTGAGTGACATCATTGTAGTCCCACAGGTGGACACCAGTCAACTAGACAGATCCTAAACTTTCCAAATAATATGGAACCATAGTCCTCATGACCCGAATGGCCTAAAAGAAGAAAGTGAGTTTTCCAAGCCTAGGTGGGGCGCTCAGGAGCACTGCAGACCTGCCCTGGAGGGTGGCTGAATCAGTGTTCCCAACTGAGAAAGGGGAGCGTGTGATCAGGCTGAGATGATCACAAAGAGGCCTCTAGGGTTGACCTTCTGCCGTTCTCTCCCTGGAGAACTCACTCAGTGTGGGTTTCACAGGACACTGCAGCCTCTCCTCCTGGCAGCAGCGAGGGGGAGGACACTGTGCAGGGTGAATGGCGTGTGGCCCCCTGAGCTCCCCACCTCTTTTCCCAGCCCTTCCCCTCCTCCTGTGCCCTGCCCCCTGTCTTACCACAGGGAACCTGGCACTGGAGAGCAGGTCTTCACGCATTCCTCTTTTGTTAGGAAGTTGTTTCTGTTTCCTCCGCAACCGCTATACCTAAACTGCTCACAGAGGCCGGTTTCGGCATTGTAGAAGTATCTCGTTATCGTGGCCTTGCAGTCACCCTTTAATTGAGGCTCCATGCAGAAAGCAGGCTTAGAAGCTTCTGGAAGGAGAGGGGCAATGGCTCAGTTATGAGGGTGGTCATCACAGCTCCGTACAAGGATAGCAACTAGAACTACGGGTTTGTTTGCAATAGAGAATATTAGGGTTGTGGAGGATGGTCAAATTGAAAAGCCCATTTGAAACCTCCTTTTTCAGACAGAATTATGAATGTTGTGTGGCATGATGTGATATACAAATGTATCATGTACAAATGTATATCTCCTCGTGAGTTATTGTAAGCAAAATTCATATAATGCCTTTGATTAGCCTTAAAACTTCTATAGGATTCCCTGGTGGTCCAGTAGTTAAGAATTCTCCTTCCAAGAAAGGAATTCTGGGTTCAAATCCTTGTCAGGGAACTAAACTCCCAAATGCTGTAGGCACGGAGTCAGCAGGCCATAATTACTGAGCCTCGGACCCACAGCGAATCACCAGTCCACCCAAATCAATGCATAAGTGCTCAAAAAAAAACCCACAGCACTATAACAGCAAAAAGAGGTCACAGGTAAAAAATATTCCTTATATGTCAATAATTATTGGATATAGACACCTGAGTTTTATAAGACTACTAATGTTCTCTGCACTGATCTGTATGGTAAAAACATGTCACTACTCATAAAAATTGTGAAGGAATCATGCTATAAAGGAGAAGGGCATTTAAAAAAAGTACACCACTGTACACTTTGTTTACCTCATGGGATTCTATAAACTGAGTAATGATACTACTGATATTGTGGTTATAAGAGGAAATACATATAATTGTCTTTTCATCTTTACCCTGACACCATTCCTAAAAATCTTGGTATTTCTCATGTGATGAAAACAATAAAAGTGTCTGTTGGTATGTGAAGTCAGTGAGTTTGTTAATACCCTCATAAGCCATATGGGCTCTGATTGCACAGGAAAGGACTGCCTATAGGAGGGTGGGAAATTTCATTTCTACCCTCTTCCAAGGTGTTTTATCCACCAAGCCGCACATTCCCTCAACCTCAGGGAGGGTAATGGAACCATCTATTGAACAATCTCCAGTGGCTAATGATTTAATACATCATGACTAGGTAATGTTCTCATACCAGACACCCTCTTCCAACAACACAAAAGAAGACTCTACACATGGACATCACCAGATTGTCAATACCAAAATCACATTGATTATATTCTTTGCAACCAAAGATGGAGAAGCTCTATACAGTCAGCAAAAACAAGACTGAGAGCTGACTGGGGCTAAGATCATGAACTCCTTATTGCAAAATTAAGACTTGAATAGAAGAAAGTAGGGAAAACCACAAGACCCTTCAGGTATGATATAACTCAAATCCTTAACGATTATACAGTGAAAGTGACAGATTCAAGGAATTAGATCTGATAGAGTGCCTGAAGAACTATGGATGGAGGTTTGTGACATTGTACAGGAGGCAGTGATCAAGACCATCCACAAGAAAAAGAAATACAAAAAGGCAAAATGGTTGTCTGAGGAGGCCTTACAAACAGCTGAGAAAAGAAGAGAACTGAAAGGCAAAGAAGAAAAGGAAAGATATAACCATATGAATGCAGAGTTCCAAAGAATAGCAAGGAGGGATAAGAAAGCCTTCCTGTGTTCAAGACAAAGGTAGAGGAAAACAACAGAATGGGAAAAAACTAGAGATCTCTTTGGGAAAATTAGAGATACCAAGGGAATATTTCATGCAAAGATAGGCACAATAAAGAACAGAAATGGTATGCGCCTAACAGAAGCAAAAAATATTAAGAAGAGGTAGAAAGAATACACAGAAGAACTACACAAGAAAGATCTTCAAGGCCCAGATAAAAATAATTGAGTGATCACTGGACTAGAGCCAGATATCCTGGAATGCAAAGACAAGTGGGCCTTAGGAAGCATCACTACGAACAAAGCTAGTGGAGGTGATGGAATTCCAATTGAGGTATTTCAAATCCTAAAATACGATGCTGTGAAAGTGCTGCACTCAATATGCCAGTAAATTAGGAAAACTCAGCAGTGGCCACAGGACTGCAAAAGGTCAGTTTTCATTCCAATCCCAAAGAAAGGCAATGCCAAAGAATGTTCAAACTACCACACAATTGCACTCATCTCACACAAGAGCAAAGTAATGCTCAAAATCTAAGACAGGCTTCAACAGTACAAGAACAGAGAACTTCCAGCTGTTCAAGCTGGATTTAGTAAAGGCAGAGGAACCAGAGATCAAACTGCCAACATCCAATGGGTCATCAAAAAAGTAAGAGAGTTACAGAGAAAAATCTACTTCTGCTTTATTGACTACACAAAGCCTTTGACTGTGTGGATCACAACAAACTGTGGGAAATTCTTCAAGAAATGTGAATACCAGACCACCTGACATGCCTCCTGAGAAATCTGTACGCAGGTCAAGAAGCAACAGTTAGAACTGGACATGGAAAAGCAGACTGCTTCCAAATGGGGAAAGGAGTATGTCAGGGCTGTATATTGTCACCCTGCTAATAAACTTATATGCCAACTACATCATGCGAAATGCCAGCCTGGAGGAAGCACAAGCTGGAATCGAAATTGCCAGAAGAAATATCAGTAACCTAAGATAGGCAGATGACACCACCCTTATGGTAGAAAGCAAAGAGGAACTAAAGAGCCTCTTGATCAAAGTGAAAGAGGAGAGTGAAAAAGTTGGCTTAAAACTCAACATTCAGAAAACTAAGATCATGGCATCCAGTATGATCAGTTCATGGCAAATAGATGCAGAAACAATTGAAACAGTGACTTTATTTTCTTGACGTCCAAAATCACTGCAGATGGTGACTGCAGCCATGAAATTAAAAGATGCTTGCTCCATGGGAAAAAAGCAATGACCAACCTAGACAGCATATTAAAAAGCAGGTGTGCCAACAAACGTCTGTCTAGTCAAATCTGTGGTTTTTCCAGTGGTCATGTATGGATGTGAGAGTTGGACTATAAAGAAAGCTGAACGCCAAAGAATTGATGCTTTTGAACCATGGTGTTGGAGAAGACTCTTAAGAGTCCCTTGGACTGCAAAGAGATCAAACCAGTCCATCATAAAGAAAATCAGTCCTGAATATTCATTGGAAGGACTGATGCTGAAGCAGAAACACCAATATTTTAGCCACCTGATGTGGAGAGCTGACTCATTGGAAAAGACCCTCTTGTTGGGCAAGATTGAGGGCTGGAGAAAAAGGGGATGACAGAGGATGAGATGGTTGGGTGGCATAACCGATTCAATGGACATGAGTTTGAGTAAACTCCAGGGGTTGGTGTTGGACAGGGAAGCCTCATCCTCAGGGAAGGTAATGGAAGCATCTATTGAGCAATCTCCAATGACTAATGATTTAATGCATCATTACTAGGAAATGAAGCCTCCCTAGAAACGTCAACAAAACAAGACATTCAGGTTATTCAGAAGACATGGGATCCACCCAGGGAACAGTATAAATATACACTCCATGTGAACCACTGCAGTAGCCTAATCACTGGGGCTCTGTCTCTGCTCTTTACTCCCTAGAGGCCACTTTGCCCTGCAGCCTCAGGGATTCTTTTAATTCAATCTTATCCCATGGCTCCCGGGAGACCAATTCTTCAGTGAGTCCCCTTTTCTCTGGCAGTCAAATTCTGATTCTTATAAAGCCCTACAAGGCTCCTCATGACCTGTTCCCTTGACAAATCATTATATTCATGATTGGTAATCTGTTCAAAGAGGTCTCATCCCCTTCCACTCATTTCCCCTCACCTACACATACTCATCTCCAACAACACTGGTCCCTGCTGCTGCTCAGAGCATGGCAGGCACGTGGCTTCTGCAGTCTCTGCTCAACACCTCCCTATCACAAAGGGTTTCCCTGACCCTTTAGACAAAAAGCACAGCTCCTTTCTCTGCCTCACTCTCTACCTTCCAGAAGCTGATAACCCACCATAACATTTCTCCCCTTTGCTATTTTATGTCTCCCTTCTGGAAGGCAAGTTATTGTGCCATGTTTCCCCACCCCCAAGCACCATGCTTTGTAGGGACTTTATAATTCCCATTTTCATTCTCTCAACAAGTGTAAGGTCCTTAAATACAAAGGATATAATTGATTTCCTTGTAGTACACAATCACCTTGATGATGGGGCATATCAACATAATGGTCAATCTCCCTCTAAACTTCAGTCTGTTGAGAGCATATTTAAACAGTCTTTACGGGTGATCATTAACCATGAAACTTCTCCAAACCCAAATATTTATGGATTTTTATGGAGATTTTCAATAAATAGTCATATTTACTGAGTTAGCGGCCTTTGCTGACTGATCTGAATCTCAGGCCCTGCCCCTCTTCCTAGAGGTGCTGGCAAGAAAGTGGTGAAATTTTAAAATTCTAATTCATGGGAGAAGGTCAGGAGGCTCTACTCATATTGTCTCAGCCTTGATCCCACGTGCCAAACCACACAAGGGCTGTGTTTCTTGTGCTCCTGCGGTTGCTGCTCAGTGGTCCCAGTTCTTTCTGCTTATTTTAATAGTAGAGGAATAATGATTATTTGACACCTCAATATGTTTTCTTCCCTAAAGGAGGTAAAAGGATAAACTTCTTCAGATTAACATGTTGGTGGAAAATGACAAAATTAGCCATTAAATATGAATAAATTCTTTACACTCGTGATTGGTAATCTGTTCAAAGAATGCTTGCAACATGTGTCCCCTGTTCAGATGAGGAAATTGTAGATGACTTGACCCAGGACAAAAGTTATGGTGGTAGTGTCAAGACTAGTTTCTATGATATTCAGTTCAGTTCAGTTCAGTCGCTCAACCGTGTCCAACTCTCTGCGACCCCGTGAATCGCAGCGCGCCAGGCCTCCCTGTCCATCACAAACCCCCGGAGTCTACTCAAACTCATGCCCATCAAGTCAGTGATGCCTACAACCTATCTAATACAATAAAAGGTTCTAGCAGGAATTCTGAAAATACAGCTTATTTGTAACAGTTTCTGGATACAATGTCTACTTTCATTACTTCCTGGCCTCAAGCCTCACCTGAGCCCCCAAATCACAGAGCAGAGTGAGTGATGTCACACCAAATATGTGATGTCTCTACCAACATCAATCAATTCCCCAATGACATACTGAGTATCCCCTGGTCATTTGATGTCTGATATGAAGTCAGTGCATTTAGTGCGGATCCTACACACTGAGGGCTCAAAAGTGCCCTCACTTCAGAGCCAGCCACCTGGTCCTGAGTTACTTATGCTTGTGGCCAAGTGGCCAAAATGTGGAGGTTCCATGATCACCCCTCTACATTCAGTAACAGAAAGAAATTGACACCCAAACTTAGGAAAGCCCATACTTACTCTTCTCAGATGAACATACACAGGAAGCTGATAGACAGTGCAATGGAGGAGATGTGTAGGACAAAGCAGAGTGGAGGTGTGTGGAGCATCCGTGCACTAGTGAGTGCAGCACCCTCACATCACGTACTTGTGTTCCTCACCTGGAAAACCCTCTGAGCCAAAATGCTCATGCACTTTTTTGCGGTTTCAAGAAATAGGCTTATTGATTGAATCACTGGCCATAGGTGATTGATATCAATCTCAGTTCCATTCCCTCTCCTCAGAGGTGCGATAATCACAAACCTTTATCCGCCTGTTTGAGTATTAGTGTTAGGAACTCCTGTACAATGTGTTTCTCATGTTGTCTTCTGAAAATCATCTTCTCATCTGTGAAAGGGAGTAAATTACAAGAGTTTCAGGAGGCCTGGTCCATGAAACAGGAAAAGGATCAAACATGGATAAGAAAATAACAGTCAAAAAAAGACAAGGGCATCTTTTCATGTGTTTGTTAGCCATCTGTATGTCTTCTTTGGAGAAATGTCTGTTTAGTTCTTTGGCCCATTTTTTGATTGGGTCTTTTATTTTTCTGGAATTGAGCTGCAGGAGCTGCTTGTATATTTTTGAGATTAGTCCTTTGTCTGTTGCTTCGTTGGCTATTATTTTCTCCCAATCTGAGGGCTGTCTTTTCACCTTGCTTATAGTTTCCTTTGTTGTGCAAAAGCTTTTAAGTTTCATTAGGTCCCATTTGTTTATTTTTGCTTTTATTTCCAATATTCATCACTCATCATCAGAGAAATGCAAATCAAAACCACAATGAGGTACCATTACACGCCAGTCAGGATGGCTGCTATCCAAAAGTCTACAAGCAATAAATGTTGGAGAGGGTGTGGAGAAAAGGGAACCCCCTTACACTGTTGGTGGGAATGCAAACTAGTACAGCCACTATGGAGAACAGTGTGGAGATTTCTTAAAAAAATTGAAATAGAACTGCCATATGACCCAGCAATACCACTTCTGGGCATACACACCGAGGAAACCAGATCTGAAAGAGACACGTGCACCCCAATGTTCATCGCAGCACTGTTTATAATAGCCAGGACATGGAAGCAACCTAGATGCCCATCAGCAGACAAATGGATAAGGAAGCTGTGGTACATATACACCATGGAATATTACTCAGCCATTAAAAAGAATTCATTTGAATCAGTTCTAATGAGGTGGATGAAACTGGAGCCCATTATACAGAGTGAAGTAAGCCAGAAAGATAAAGAACATTACAGCATACTAACACATATATATGGAATTTATAAAGATGGTAATGATAACCCTATAGGCAAAACAGAAAAAGAGACACAGATGTACAGAACAGACTTTTGGACTCTGTGGGAGAAGGCAAGGGTAGGATGTTTTGAGAGAACAGCATCGAAATATGTATATTATCTATAGTGAAACAGATCACCAGTCCAGGTTGGATGCATGAGACAAGTGCTCGGGCCTGGTGCACTGGGAAGACTCAGAGGGATTGGGTAGAGAGGGAGGTGGGAGGGGGGATTGGGATGGGGAATACATGCAAATCTATGACTGATTCATGTCAATGTATGACAAAACCCACTACAATATTGTAAAGTAATTAGCCTCCAACTAATAAAAATAAATGAAAAAATAAATAAATAAATAAATAAAAAGCAAAAAAAAAAAAGGACAAGGGAAAGGGCTTGGAGACTTTCATAATGTTGTCTCAATCTTCCTCCCACAGCCTACCACAAAAGGGCTGTGTTTCTTGCTCTCCCTGCAATTGCTCTTCTCCATGGTTCCACATCTTTTGATTAGTTTTAATAACAGATGAATAATCATTATTTAATAAAGAAATATTTTCACTTGGTAAAGCAAACCAGTAGAGAAATTTTTTTTCAGATTCATATATTGTGGTAGAAAATGGACAAATCTGACTGTGACATGTGAATAAGTTGTTTATATTTCTGGCTCATTGTCTATTCAAAGAACTCATATAACATGTTTCTCTTAATCTGATGAGGAAACTGCAGATGACTTGCCCCAGCACAAAAGCATGTGAATGGCCTGGTCAGGACAAGATATTGTCGTGTCACAACCCATTTGATACACTGTTGATTTGCTAGGAACTTGAAAATACAGAGTTTCTGGGTCCAGGGTCCTACTATCCTATTCACCTCTCCCCAAACCTCACCTGGCCTCCAAATCACAGGGGAGGGGGAGTCTCGGTTTTTTGCTGATATGAAACACAGGGCTTCTCCACCAACACCATCCAATTCCCAACACCTAGTGGGCAAACCACTATCAATTGACGTCTCATACCAAATCTGTGGAGTTAGTGCCAGTGACATAGGCTGAGGGATCCAGACTGTTCTGACTTCAAAAGCCAGCCATGTGATCTCGAGTCATTCATACTTCTGACCAAGTGACTAATAAAAGTCAAATTTTCCATGACCTCACATCAATGCTCAATAACTCAGTCACACAGGCAAATGAACTCAGGAAAACTCTTACTCATTGTTCTCAGATTAATGTACAAGATGAAAGTTAGAAACAGTGCAATGGAGGAGACATGTAGGGCTAAGGGAGAGTGGAGGTGTGCGAAGTCTCCCCGCCCTGGTTCGCACAGCACCCTCACATAACCTCCATTTCTCACCATCCCAGAAGCTCTCTGAATGCCAGTATTAATGAATTCTTATTGAGGTTTCACTAAATAGGCATATTGACTGAATCACTGGCCACTGGTGACTGATCTCAATCTCAGTGCCCTCCCCTTTCCCCATAGGTGCAGAAAGTTCAAACTTTTATATCCACGTTCAAATACTTCAGCCACACTTTTTATTATATTGGATCCTAATTCAATTACCTGACTACCTATAAAAGACAAAACCTCCAAATTATCAGGGGTCTCCAACCATGAATTAGGACAAAGTTCAAATATAAATAACTATATGATAGCCAAACATAACAAGGAAAGAGACCTGGAGATTTTGTTAATTTTCTATCAGCCCTGGTCCCACCAGTCAACCACACAAGGACTGTGTTTCATGCTTTCCTGGCAGTTGCTCTGCTCAGTGATCACAAGTCTTTCTCATTAATTTTTATCAGAGAAGGATAATCATTATTTGACAGAAAAATATACTTCTGGCCCCAAGTAAGCAGGTAGAGAAACCATTTGAAATGAACCTATTGTGGTGGAAAATGACCCAAATTTGCAATGAAATGTGAATAAACTCTCTATATTAATGACCAGTATTATGTTCAAAGAACCCATGTAGCATGTATCCACTGTTCAGAGGAGGTAAGTGTAAATGACTTGTTCCTGGACGTACAGCATGTGGGTGGCAGGGTCTGGACAAGATACTTCCCTGCCACAATCCATTTGATACACTACCTGATTTGGCCAGGAACTCTGAAAATACTGATAACTGCTGAGAGCTTCTGGGTGCAGTCTTCTACTATCACTACTCCCCTGTCCCCAAGACTCACTTGAGCTCCCAAAGCACAAGAAGAGTGTGATGGGTTTCCCTGACACCAAATATGTGGTGTCTCTAGCAACAACATCCAATTCCCCAAACATCCACTAAGTGTTCGACAAGTCAACTTAATTCTGATAAGAAATCAGGGGAGTTAGAACAGATTCTGCATGTTGAGGGCTCAAAACTCTCCTCAGTTCATATGCCAGCCATGTGTTGCGGTCGTGTATGATTCGACCAAGTGGCTAAAACTTGGAAGTCCCATTATCCCAACTCCATGTTTAATAACTCAATACATCTGATGACCAAACTCAGGAAGACCACTCACATACAGATCTCACGTTATTATAAAGGGTAAATCTAGAGACAGCGAAATGAGTGAGATGTGCAGAGCAAAGTGGAAGTGGGTATGTGGGGAGTCCCAAGGCCCTAGAGGACACCGGACACTCACGTCACAGCTGTGTGTTAGCACCCCAAAAGCTCTTGGAATGCCCGTATCTCTGGATTTTTATTATCATTTCCCTAAACAGGCATACTGATTGAATCATTGCCCTCTGGTGACTGTTCTCAGTCTCAGTGCCCTCTCCTTTCCCAGAGATGCAGAAAGTTCAAACCTAAAATCACGTCGTTAATGATATCTGGAAACACATTGGGTTCTGACTGCTTCTCAGGTCCCCTTCTCTGGCTTGTCTCAAGTCCTATAAAGACAGCAAATCCAAGAGTTTCAGGAGGTCTGAGCCTAGACAACAATCAAATACAGGACCGTAAAATAGTAGTCAACAGTACAAGTGAATGTCATTCAGTCAAGTCTGACTCTTTGTGAGCCCATGGACTATACAGTCCATGGAATTCTCCTGGCCAGAACACTGGAGTGGGTAGCCTTTCCCTTCACCAGAGGATCTTCCCAATCTAGGAATCAAACCCAGGTCTCCCACATTGCAGGCAGATCCTTTACCAGCTGAGACACCAGGGAAGCCCTACATATGTAATATATTTACTCATGACATTTATAATATCAGTGGAGCTCAGTCCTTGCAACTTCAGACTTCCTTGGGGTGTAATAGTTAAGAGTCTGTCTGCCATTACAGCATTCATGAGTTTGAACCCTGATTTGGGAAGATCCACGTGCCTCAGCACAACTAAGCAGGTGAACTGCAACTAGTGAGCCCAGATGCCTAGAGCCCCTGCTTTGCAACAAGAGAAGCCACCCCAATGAGAAGCTCACACACCACAACCGGAGAGCAGAGCCCAGAACTAGAGAACATCCTCATCTCCTGAGGAAGACCAATGCAGCCAGCACCAAAATAACAACAACCCTGCCCCACTCGCCAGGAGAAATCAGAGAGGGCTGGCAGCATGGCCTCTCACCTTCCCATCTCCCCCCCATCATCCCCTGGAGCCTGTAGAGGAGAGGTGAGTCCAGACATACCTTGGTCCTGAATATTGTTCCTAAGCCCTGGGGTGCTGTCCACCAGACTGACCAGGAAGACCAGAAGGGCTGCAGAGAGGCAGAGCCAGCTCATCTTCGTGGCCTTGCAGGAGGGCTCCTGAGGATGCTGGGGATGGACCGAGTTTTTAACATCCTGGCTAGGGGGTAACCTCAGGTGATGAGGAAGGGAGTGGGGAAGGGGAGGAGTTGTGTAAGTCCTTTTTATTACCCAATCTTCTTACCTAACCATGCCTCCTGCTTTTCTCTGCAGGGGCCTAAATTCTATTAATAGCAGTTTTTAGACTTGGCTATGCCTGTGGGTCTCTGTAAACACAGATCATGATTCCAATATGTCACTCAGGGAAAGTCCCAGCACCTAGAGCAGTGCATGGCATGTAATGAATGGTCATGAGTGGATGCGAGTCGATCAACAGGCAGATAAGTGATCAGCAGTGTTAGCGCACATCCTCCTTTCAGCCTCCTGCACGTATCATCTCACCTGGACCTCAGTGCCCTGATCCCCCTCACCTACCTCTGATGACAGGTGTGACACAGGTCACCTTCCTGCAACCACTGTCACAGCTTCTCCACTGGGTGGACGCATGCTCTTTACCAGACGCTGGTGCAGACAGGAATTTGGCTGGGGAAGCTGATGTCCTCCTGGGCTGTAACCCTGCAGTGTGTTCACTCTGGTCACAGCATGAGCACTGGAATCATGGAATATGGAGGGAATATTTATACTGTGACTCTAAAGAAATATTAATTTGGTCTTCTTCCTATTCCTGACAGAAAGCTCCCAACACTGCCGAAGTTTCCTGAGAGATGACAGTAACAAGGAGCCTTTTATCACGTGAGGGAGGTGACTAGTAAACACTCAGCCTAAAAAACCACTACCATATTGTAATTAGCCTCCAATTAAAATAAATTAATTTTTTTTTTTTACTTAAAAAAAAATCACTCAGCCTAAACCAAGGATGGAGTGTATTGTCAAGGTAACCAACACTTGATAGGGAGAGTGGGAATTTTCATTTCCATCTTTCCTCTTTCCCTGCCCCCGCACCTCAGGAAGGGGAGCGGGGTGGAGGGTGAACTCATCACAAATGCTTTAAGATTGAAGGATTCGTGATATGTGAGGAAGCCTCCAGAGAAACCTCAACAGAGCAAGTCATTCAGGTTCTTCTAAAGCACTGAGATCTACCCTAGGAACCACACGGGTACACACTGCCCCATGGCTCCCTGGGCCACTGCAGCACCTGCCCAGGGGCCTCGGTCTCTGCCCTTGTTTCCTAGAGGCCACTCTCCACTCTGCAGACTCAGGGTTCCTGTTTCAACTTGAGTCCTATCGCATGGCTTCCAGGACCAGCCTCTCAGTGACTCCCCAGCTCTCTCACAGTCAAATTCTGATTCTTACAAAGTCCTACAAGGCTCCTCACGACCTGCCCCCACGGCCTCTCTGCCTCATCCCCTCCCACTCCCCTCCCCTCACCCACTCAGCTCCAGCCACCCTGGTCCTGGCTGCTGCGCAAACACAACAGGCTCATTTTTGGCGGCCTCTGCTCAAGGCCTCCTATTCCAGAGTGTTTCCCTCACCCTCTTCAGCCTCTTGAATCCCCATCACTCTCTTTCCTCACAACATTCATCATGACCTGGCATAAGTTTTTCCCCATCTTCATTGCCTGTTGGCCTCTTAGATAGCATATTATTTTACTATATGTTGTTTACAGCTGTTTTTCTACACCAAGAAATATGCCTTCTGGGACAAAAAGGATAAATATTTGATAAATATTTGTCAAGTAAATGAATCTCCATGTCACACTCATGCCAAGTGTACAGTTATTGAAGAGTCTGGATACATTAAAGTTCATGTTAGTCTATTTGACAATGAGGGCTGTGTATGTTGACTGATAGATAGATGATAGATAGATAGATATGGCTTCCCTCATGTCTCAATGGTAAAGAATGCCTTCAGTGCAGGAGACCTGAATTTGATCGCTGGGATAGGATGATCCCCAGAGAAGGGAAAGGCTACCCACTCCAGTATTCTTGTCTGGAAAATTCCATGGATAGAAGAGCCTAGAGGGGCTACAGTTCATGGGGTCACAAAGAGTCAGATCCAACTGAGCAATTAACACTGTCACTTTTTTTCACTTGTCTGTATAATAATGTGTCTCTCTAACATTGCATATGCTGATATGAAAATGAAGTAATAGTCTGACAGGACAACAAACTGAGGTGCATTGAGATTTGACTTACATTGTACCAACCTGGAAATAACAGTCTTTTCACCTTGAGCAAACTCTCAGAAGTACTGCATTTCCAGCTCTTCCTGCAGTTGTCTCCAAAGGTAAGAAGCCCAGCTGTCACTCAACATCCTGATTAACTTCATAACAGAAGAATGATCATGATTTGACAGATGAAATATTTTTAGAGGGATGGTGAGGAAATGTAGGTAGACAAGTCTTTTGGAGTAAAATATTTTGGTGGAAAGTGAACCATCATGGACCGCGAATGTGCAAATTCTTTGTATTCATGACTGGTAATCCTTTCAAAAAACCCACGTAACATGGTCCCCCTATTCAGGAGAGGAAACTGCAGATGACTTGCCCCAGAACAAAAAGCCTGTGAGTATTAAGATCAGGAAAAGTCACAATCCATTTAGTCAAGTATGTGATTTTGCCAGGAATTCTGAAAATGCAGAGAACTGGGAAGGAGTTATGAGTGGTCTCCCTGGATAACATAGTTCCAGACACAAATGATAGGGAAGAGTGAGTCCGGGTGTTGCCCCAGTCTGAACATGCGGGTTCTCTACCAACAGCAATCAGCTCCCCAACACCCACGGGCATCCAGGAGTCAGTTCACTTCTGACACTAAATCCGCAGAGGTGACAAAGACTGCACAGGGTGAGGGCTTGGTCCCTGAAGACTGTCCACACTTCAAGTGTCGATCACGAGTCCTGTGGTCACTTAACCCGTGTGACCCGCTGGCTACAAAATCAGAGGTTCCATGACCCACCTCCAAGTTCAGTGACTTATTTGAACCACTCACAGAACTGAGGAAAGCCTTTTATTTACTGTCTTCAGTTAGTATAAAGCATGAAACTCAGGGACAGCGAAATGGAGACACATGGGGAAATGGGAAGGTAAGGCTGCCAAGCCTCCAAACCCTCTCAGGACTCTCCCCTTTACAAACCCTTGATGCTATCACCTCCTCTGAAGCTCTCTGAACCCAATCTGCATGGATTTTAATTGAGGGTTGGAGGTAGGCGATTTGATTGAATCTTTGGCTGTTGGTGACTGAACTCAGTATCAGTACCCTCTTGTCCCCAGAGGGACTAGGGTTTATAGTTCCTAACCCTCTAATCACCTGATGGAATGTTCTGAAGTCCAGTCCCATCCAGATGCTATCTCAGGTCCCATCCTTCACTCATCTCATGACTTACAGAAAGACGCTAAATTCCAAGTTTCAGGAAGCCTGGGCAGGAATGGGAACAAGGAACAAACAAACAAAATAAGGATTTTGTTATTATACTACATTGACTTTTAGGGACAAGATAGTGACCAGGAATGGAGAAGGAAATGGCAATCCACTCCAGTATTCTTTCCTGGAGAATCCCAGGGACAGAGGAGCCTGGTGGGCTGCCATCTATGGGGTCGCACAGAGTCAAACACAACTGAAGTGACTTAGCAGCAGCAGCAGCAGTGACCAGGAAGAGAGATCTCAGTAATGGGGTCCCTATTCTGGTAGAGTGAGTTGGGGTACTTTAAAAAAAATGTGAATACATAATTGGGGACTTCCTCAGTGGCTCAGATGGCAAAGAATCTGCCTGCAATTCAGGAGACCTGGGTTTGGTCCCTGCGTTGGGAAGATCCCCTGGAGAAGAGCATGGCAACCCTTCTTGCCATGGAGAATGCCAGTATTCTTGCCTGGAGAATTCCCATGGACAGGGGTGCCTGGTGGGCTACAGTCCATGGGGTCGCCAAGAGTTGGACGCAACTGAGGGACTGAGCACAGAAACACATAGTGTTACCTTTTGAGAATCAAGGAAGCAACCTAGATGTCCATCAGCAGAAGAGTGGATAAGAAAGCTGTGGTACATATACACAATGGACTATTACTCAGCCATTAAAAAGAATGCATTTGAATCGGTTCAAATGAGGTGGATGAAACTGGAGCCTAATATACAGAGCGAAGTAAGTCAGAAAGAAAAACACCAATAAAGTATATTAACACATATATATGGAATTTAGAAAGATGGTAACAGTGACCCTATATGCGAGACAGCAAAAGAGACACAGATGTAAAGAACAGACTTTTGGACTCTGTGGGAGAAGGCAAGGGTGGGATGATTTGAGAGAATAGCATTGAAACATGTACATTATCATATGTGAAACAGATTGCCAGTCCAGGTTCGATGCATGAGACAGGGTGCTCAGGGCTAGTGCACTGGGATGACCCTGGGGGATGGGATGGGGAGGGAGGGAGGGAGGATGAAGAGTTAGGATGGGGAACACATGTACACCCATGGCTGATTCATGTGAATGTATGGCAAAAACCACCACAATACTGTATAGAAATTAGCTTCCAATTAAAATAAATTTTAAAAAAAATTTTTAAAAAGAAATATCCCTGCAGTGAAAACTGCCCAATATCCCAGAAGAAATCAAGAGAAACTTGGCAGCCTCCACCCCACCCCTGCTCCCCAGCGCCTTCCGTGGACTCTCTTCATCTTACCTCATCCTGTAGAGGAGAGGTGAGCTGAAACACCCTGGGCCTGGTTGCTGATTTCACCCACCAGGATGCCGACCATCACAGTGCCCAGGAGGACGAGAAGGGCTGCAGAGAGGCAGAGGGCCTTGCAGGAGGGCTTCTGAGGAAAGCTGGGGGTGACTGAGCTTCTCACACCCCAGCTGTATGGTGGGACAGGCGGCAAAGAGGGGAGTAAGGAATAGGAGGAGCGGGGGTCAGGCTTGTCCAGTGTGAAATCTCTCACAGAGCCAGACTTTCTGCTTTTGCCTGCTGGAGCCAGATGCCCAGTAACACTGCTTCTCCAGCTTTACTTTGCCTGTGGATCCTGTGAAAACACAGTCTGTGATT